AGGAAGCACTCCTGCTAGTCATTTTTGTCATGGGAATCAGAAGGCTAGACCTTCTGACTGGTAGGACACTCAGCCACACCCTAGATTATGGCCACTGTCATATGGTAACCTCACCACATTCCACAAATAAGTTCTCTGAGCTTATTTTTCATACATACATTTTCTCGTCTTCCCAATGCTCTCAGTTGCTACAGTACCAGGGGCACATAAATATCTCTCAGCCCTCAGTTCTCACCCTGGTGCTCAGTTCCTCTACTTCTTCTCCTGACCCAGGCAGAACTATCTGTCCCCCATTCACAGGCAGCTTCTGATATAGGTCAGAAACCATGATAGGCTAGATGTGTGGATTGATTTTTTTGTTTTGTTTTGATTGAGACAGAGGTTTTCTGTGTAGCCCTGGCTGTCCTAGAACTCATTCTGTGGTCCAGGCTAGCCCTGAACTCAGAGGTCCACCTGCCTCTGCCTTCTAAGTACTGGGATTAAAGGTGTACACTGGTAGCTTGGTCTTCTATCATAGCTTTCTTTGCCTGGGCCTCTGTGGTCACTTGACTAACAACTAAGATCCACTTACATGTCAAACTGTCATTTCCAGGTATGAATTTTGACATAGCTGAACCTCTCCTGTGGCCACCCCTTCTCCCTTGAGAGCTTCCTAAAGGGTCAAGTGCCCACTGGTGGGGTAACTACATCTTGCTGCCCCTTAGGTTGTGATCTTCCTGGCACCACACACAACTGCCCGCACTCAGGTACCCCATATTTATATGCTTTAGGTTATACATTGGCTAGTCTGCTTGGACTTGAACTGTGGCTGTAGACCTTGAGCTCTCTTGAGACCTGAGGAAGGACAAGACAGCTAAGACTCCCTTTCTCCCACTTTTCTCTGACTCATAGACAGCAAACCTGCTAGCAAATTAGGTTAGGGGGAGCTAGGTGAAGGTTGCTGAGTTGAGGCCTCTAGGCTGTTTCATGTTGTAATTACAGGTTACTCAGTGCAGTTGCTAAATGTAAAATTACAAGCGTTGGCTCTCTGTGCATCATTTGACCACAATTATGATAATTATGTCCTTGCCTGAAGGTCAGCAGAGTAACTCAGAGGGGGATACTAGGGTGACAGATGACTTGGGGGTTGGGGCTAAGCAGGGCAGTATTCTCATATTAACACCAAAGGCCAAAGTTGGGCATGGCTGGCTAACTTCAAAAGTTTCAAATGCAGAAAGAAAACAGATTTTTTTTTCTAGGTGATTCTTTAGTGATAGTCATTTTGTGTAACAGAATCATCATTGATAAACAATGGAAATCTCAAGATTTGGCAAAAGCTATCACTCTTGGTCTGTTAAGTTGTGTCTATGGCACAAAGTCTCACTACTATGGGGAAACAGAATTCCCACTAATGTGCCTTCCATTAAAGAAGAGATGCCTGAATCTTGTCTCTGAAAGCCTCCGATTACCAGCTCCCATCAAAGGATGAGGTACTATGTGCTGACACTGGGAACCCTGTCTCATTTTGGGATTTAGAGCTATCCTACTTTGGAAGTAACTGAGGTTCAAAAATGGGCCTGAATACCATAGATTGTGGAAACCAGAATATGGTATTAGTAAGCCACATAGTCTCTCACTTACAAGGACCTGTGTAAATGTTAAAGTTTAAAAGGGTTGAGAGGTGTCTAGTCCCCTTTTCTATTTCTGGGTCCCATGAAATGTGCTAGCTCACACTATATGGCAGAAACTTTCTGGGGCCAGACATACATAGCTGATCTTGTACTTGTTATCCTGGTCCTCAGATTTGTGAGGCCATATGTCTTAGGGTTACTTCTGTCTTAGTTAGGGTTTTACTGCTGTGAACAGACACCATGACCAATGCAACTCTTACAAGGACAACATTTAATTGGGGCTGGCTTACAGGTTCAGAGGTTCAGTCCATTATCATCAAGGCAGGAGCATGGCAGCATCCAGGCAGGCATGGTTCAGGGGGAGCTGAGAGTTCTACATATTCATCTGTAGGCTGCTAATGGAAGACTGGCTTCCAGGAAGCTGAGGGTCTTAAGCCCACATCCACAGTGACACACCTACTCCAACAAGGCCACACCTCCTAATAGTGCCACTCCATGGGCCAAGCGTATTCAAACCACACACCATATGCCTTCTCAGCCTCACATCTGACTAGATAGAGATGCTCCATCCCCGGGCTATACTTGGAATTTTTCATGATATCTGTATCAAACTCTGTACCAATGGTACAAGGACCACAGTAGGGCCAATCCTCCCCTCTGTAGGTCAGGAGGGAGACACTGGAGCCCTTCTTGGGTTTAGCCCATAAAATATTACCTGAAAAGTAGTCCCCTCCCACTTATCATGGAATAACACACACCAAGCTCTATACTTACAGAACTTCCCAAAGGGCCTCTGGGAAACCTCAGAGAGACTGTGCAGGCCCCTGTAGGCCCATGGTTCAACCCACTAGGACCTAGGTTGGTAGGCAGGACAGTGGTTGTTAGGCAACTTAACAGTCTTGGCCTACCTCATTCTCCTGCCCCCAGGAGCCCTGTCTGTTGGGGAATATCTTTTCTACAGATATTACAGGACACTGGTCAGGACAGGTGTCAGGAGTCTGTGAGGACCTCTGTAGCACACAAAGCTTCTTCACAAGCCAGCAGAATTTAGCTATCCCAGTGACAGCTCTGAAAACCAGTTCTGTTGCCCCATACGCACCCTAGGCTAGGTAATGGCTCAGGGGGATGAGAATGAGGAGATTACTGTCTCAGTGATCCTACAGGGGGATCTGGGTCCTGGAAGGCAGTGACAACCTCCTCGATGTTATATGGGATTCTTGCAAGAACCCTGATAGACAAATATTCATCATTACCTTGTTTCTAATTTTTTATTGAATTTTTAAAGGTTTACAAAAACTGAGTAGAAAATAGAGACATCTCCAATAACTGCCCCTTCCTCCCACTGTCCTTAACATCTTGTCTTAATATATGTGGCAATAATAGTGAGCTAGTATTTGTAAGTCATAAACTAAAGGGCAAAGTATAGACTCCAGTTCAGTCTTGTGTTCCACTGTTTTTTTGACAAATGCACGTGAGCTTGTACCATTCCCTGGGATAGAACAAGCTCCAGTCAACCTGAGACCCTAGTGACTGCAGGTCATTAGCTCTTAATGCCTGCACTGGGTATCACTCCTATTTATTTTCATGCTATGATCTGAACCGTGATGGGCCATATAGCCCTTCCAAGATGGATGAGTCCTGATTGGCTACATGCAAATCGTGTATTCATCTCTACAGAGCCCCTAGTAAAAGGGATTACTAAATACAAACTAGCAGGAGTTTACAGTGTACAACTGGCAGGTTCCTTCCTCACTTGCTTGGAGTTATCACCTGGCTTGTATCATTTCTGTACACTGGAATCCTGCAGTGACAGTGGCAAGACCTATACTCTAAGGCCCTTGGAGTTGGTGGAGTAGACCTTTAAGCTCTGAATGCACAGGTATATCCCTGGAGCATCAAACAAGGCCTTGAATTTCAGGGTGACATCACTTTATATTCGAGGCAGGGTTTCAGTTCTGGGTTTTAGTTGAGTACAAAGACCTGTTCAGTTGTAGGCCTGCTTCATACTGATTCTTAAACTGCAGATGCCTCTTCCAGCTCCTCAGGACTTCGCTTTTCCTCAGGTGTTTAGTGGCCTTGAATCTACAGGTGGTGCTGGCTCTTCCTTTGTCTTGAAGACTTATAACTTTGTCCCTCTCCTTCTCTCAGTATGGTCCCCATCTAATAAATAAACTAGATTTCTAGGCCCCTCCTCATGGATAGAGGGAACCCTGCAATTCCTTGTTTCCTCCTAAAATGTATCCAGGTCAGTTTCATCCATCATTTGATACTGTTTGGGGCTTTAGAGTGAAGGAAGACTGCCTCATCACCTTCTCCCTGCTTTTTCTGAATCAAGCTCCAGCCCAGAGAAAGTGTCCCTCCACCTCCCTATGTCTGTCCTGCTCCTGTGTAACTCCTCCACTAAATGTTAGGATCACTATACTCTCCATATGACCATCCATAAAAGGAAGAACAACCCTCCTTCATTGCCAGACTGGGCTCTCAGATGGTTATTTTTGTTTCTGTGGAAGGATGTTTGGAGACAATTTGACTTGTCAAACTGGGGAGGGGAGATACTATTGAAGTATAGAGTGGGTCCCAAGTGATGCTAAAGACCCACACCACCCAAGATAGGTTCCACTGTAAATAAGCATCCAGCCTAAAACCTCAGCTTCAAGATGATAAAGTGCATATTAGACACACAGACCACAGGACCCTTGGAAATGTGGCCTGGGATTGATTGCGCACTTGAGGCCTTTCTATGGAATGGACACTCCAGAGCCTCGAAGAAGTTGCCAACTCTTACTAATGGCAGAGTGTCTCTCTCCCCTCTCTCCTCTCCTCTCCCCCTCCCCCTCCCCTTCTCTCCGCCTCCCCCTCCCCCAATTTTGAGTTCGGGTAAAGCAAAGGGAGGGCGCCAGGAACTCCAAGAAGCCACCGCTCTTGAGTTGTGAGCATCACAATAAGCCGCTGTGCACTCGAGGCCACTCAGGCTGTCTAAAAGATGGAGTCTAGCTGCTGGAAGAAGCTCAGATTTCTTCACTTCTAGTAATGGTGCAGTTCCCCCAGGCCCAAACTTTCCCATCCCAATTCCCGCAGCTTCTGCGTTCCAGCCCCAGCCCTCCTCCATGACCTTGTTCCCGTCCTTTGCAAAGTCGTTTGTCCTACTCCGAGCTGCACTTTCCCTCGTCCTGTGCTGCGAGATGCTGCCCACTGAGTATCTGCGTGACACCAGGGCGTTCCAGGCCAGAGCTGGCAGGACGCAGATCTGTGAGCTGGCGCGCGGGGCGGAACTGCTGGCCCGGGCCGAAGGCCAGGCGGGGGCGGAGCTCGGACGAGGGCGGGGTGGCTTCGCGGTTCCGCCCCCCAGCTGAGCCAGACCACGGTCCGGGAACTTGCCAGCTCAGAGGTTCTAGGGGCAGCCGGCGCGCTTCTCTGGTTGCAGCTTGGGCCGCACGGGCGGCTCCTGTGGTGGGCGGCCAGGGGCGAGCCGAGATGGGCTGTAGACGCGCGAGGTGATCAGCTCGCACGCGGACCCACGCCTCCCGCCGCACTGCCTCAAGAATCTATTCTGTGGGTGCAGGCACGCACCGGACGCAGACCCGGCCGGAGCATGCGGGGTGTGGTGTGGGCGGCCCGGAGGCGCGCGGGGCAGCAGTGGCCTCGGTCCCCGGGCCCTGGGCCGGGTCCGCCCCCGCCGCCACCGCTGCTGTTGCTACTACTCCTGCTGCTGGGCGGTGCGAGCGCGCAGTACTCCAGCGACCTGTGCAGCTGGAAGGGAAGGTGAGTCTTGCCGGCAAGTCCAGCGTGGACCGCCTGAACCTGGATCGGAGCCCTCGGCAACGAGCGGCAGAGCTGATGGTGCCTGCGGGGTAGGGAGAGCTATGCTGGCCAAGTTCGGTGACCCTCGCCCCAGCTCTGATTTCAGAACAAAAGAGTTGGTGGCATCTGGGTCCCAGCTTGGAGAACGCCCATTCTCCGCGCGCGTATCACTGCACTAGTGGGTTTCCTGAGCTCTATGGGTTGCAGCTTCGGTTCTTTCCAATGGTTGGGATTTCTGATCCTTGGGAAAGGGTTGGGATTGTGCTCATCTAGAGGGGCAGCTGTGGCGTGGAGACCGCGGTGTCCAAACGAGACCCGTATCGGCTGCAGCACCAGCCCTGTCTTTGGGGCAACGAGACGGGGTAGACACCTGTCCGGGGCCAAATGCAGTCGGGTAGAGCCCTGCGCCCGCTCGGTGAAGGTCAAGCCGCCCTTGGCAGTAGGGCGCAGGGTTCCTGTGACACCTTTCTCTAGTCCCCATCAGCGGAGGACTTTTTGCTGTTGTTTAACTGAAGTGTGACGTATGGAAAGAAGCACAAGTCACAAGTGTGCGCGGGCGGGGTGCCTGAGCAGTCGTAGCTACTTTGGACACTGAGAACGCGCCAGGCACAGCGGCCAGCCTTCTCTCTTTGCAGAGTCAGTTTTATACGCTGCAAGTTGCCAATTCAGCGGTTTGCATAGTGCGCTGCGCTGATGCGGGTCTTCTCTGAAAACGTGGGCTGGGACAGCGGTGGGGGTCTGGTGTAGCTCATCCCATGGGCAGGGCGCTTGCGCAGGCCCGGGGAGGTACACGATCTGGTCTGAAGCACAGACTCCAGTGTAGAGAGGGCTCGTGGGGCAATGCGTGTGATGGGTGTCTTTGGTCAAGAGGGTTTTCTGAGAAAGGTGGATGTTGAGCGGTGCCTCGGATCTGCTTAAGCAGGGCATCAATGGTTATCTTGTGCACTTACAGAGCCTGACTTTCTGACGAAACCACAGAGACCAAAATCAACCCTCATCAAGACTCCTGCTGGAGTGCTTGGACTGAAAGATTGAAAGCTGCCTCCTGAGTGCTCCTGCACCGGTCCTTCAGAGAGTTGGAGTTTTTTCTCCAGCAGAAATCCCTTTGCCCGGCAAGAGCAGGGAGTCAGTAGAGCTTGGGGCAGACAAGAGCAGATTGGATCTGGGGGAAGACTGGCCTTGGGAATGCTGGCGCCATCGCAGAGCTGGCCATGAGCCTGTGATACTAAGCTCTTACCGGGCTGCCCTTTCCTCGGTAATTAACTCTCTGCTCACAACCTGCACTGCTGAATTAGTGTACTCTAACCTAAGGTCTTGGGGTGTCCTGTTCCAGCAGACCAAAATCAGAAACCGAATGCCTGCCTCTGAATGAGGTTTCCAGATACTTGCTTTTCTTCCAGGTTCTTAGAAGACTGTGTGCCTGAAAGACCACCTTTCCCTGAGCCCAGGGGTCCCTGGTGAGGGGTGACTTTCCCCCAGGTACTGAGAGATTGAGTAGAGACAAACTAAAAGACGGCTTATTTCTGTGGGTCCATTCTCATGTTGTTCCTTCCAATTAAGTGGAATCTGATGACTACCACATGATGCATGCAACTGCTGGGGTGGCAGCCCCCAATCTCAAGTCTCATTGTGAGCTAGCTACCTGTCTGTCCCCTTGGACTCCCCCTCTCCTCTGCCTACTTTCAGAGCCAGGCCAAGGTCCTCCAAAGGAGTGTAAGGACTGGGAAGTATCCAGTAACTGTCCATCCTTATGCCTACCTGGCCCTTCTCCCTCAACTCATTCTCATTCTGGGATTCCTTTGAGGGCCTCTTTCCCAGGGCATAGCTCCGCAGAGGACAGCTGAAGGCATCTGGTAGTTGTGGATAGGTAGATAGGATTGGGAGAACATGTCTGTTTTGTTATAGACATGGCCCCTACTTGTAAATGCATTTCACAGATCAGTTGACTACTGCCCAGCATGCTTGCATGCTTGCTACTCCACAGTGTTTATTACTTTTTTTTTTCAAGCAGTCTAGAACAAATCATTGGGTGGAGCAAGCCACAAAATGTTGGATTCTGGCCTCTGGTAGGAAGGAAGTTGCTCTCCATAGCCCTGGCCACTCCATTTAACTCATATAGGATCTAGGTGTTTCCAAGAAATCAAGTTGGAAATTTTGAAATTCCCTTTTCTGTCTGTGTTGATTAACCAGTGCCATAAAGGTGGACCATGAACCTTCTCACTATGAGCAACGGGAATATGGCAGGTGTAGTCACACCTGGACTGTCTTGTAAAGTAGGAAATGAAAGGCAAAACTTAGCAGTAGGGCCTTTTGGTTTTGCTTGGATGTAAAACCCCTCTAGAGATCCCTCCCTGTCTTGTCCCAGTAGCTGGACTGTGGATGTTAGCAGTGTATTTGAACAAGCCCTGCTCACATCCTCAAGACCTCACACTAATCTGGAATTGATGCTTTGTCTTACAAGGCTATTAAAATATGTGTTCATGTGGGTGGTGAGCCTTGCTGATTGGAAAAAGAAAAAAAAAGTATTGTGCTGGTGAAATGGCATTATACAGAAGTATATACTTAGTAGTATAGTGCTTGTCTGTCATGTGCAAGGCATTGTGCTGCTCCTTGGGACACAACACACCCATACACACCATTTATTCAGTTTAACCTATGATCAGATCATTCCTGTCAGTTTTATGGTGTAGATAGACTAAGACCAGTTTTGTCAGTATTGTAGCTTTGTCATAGCAATGGAATATAGTTATTTTACTTTGTGTAGCTGATGTATCATTGACATGTCATGAAGATGGTAAAGTCCTGTTGATCAGCGGTCATTTAAGATGATATGATGCTGGGTGTTTGAAATGGAGACTTGAGGTATTAGGTATTCCAGTGGGAACCTGTCCTGACTTCATTAAAGATCTGTCTGGCCCTAGGCTGAGGGACCCTTTACTTTAGTTCCTGCTTGTCGAAACATGGGCTGTGCACCTGCACTAGTTCTGATGTGAAAGCTTCTGTATCAAGCTACTAGTTGTATTCTTGTTGATCATAATATTTTAGAAGAGTGTCCCGGGATGCACAGTTAATCCTTCCCTTAGCTAGAGAAGCCCAAGTCGAGGTGAGCTAACAGGTACCTCATTTCTGTGGGTCCTCTGCCCTCATGTTCTTTCCAATTAAGTGGAATGTAGTGGACACCGCATAATGCATGTGGCCACTGAGATAGAAGCCCCAAGTCTGGGCATTGTGGGCTGGTCTCATGTCCCCTTGAGTATCCTGTGAAGGATAGTGTTTCTTTTTGTCCATCCCTGCTGCGCTGAGGCTCGGTGCTCTGAAGTCCCCAGATTCTCTGTAGTGAGGCCTCCATGCTCTTGATTCTCAGGAAGCAAAACCTCATGCTGGATGCTTTATATTAAATATAATTTATATTTGTAAGTTGAGGTTTGAGACTGTTCTGGTGCAAGTATCAGTTGTCCCTTGATGTTGTAGACAGGAGAAAGAGAAACGCAATAATTAGGTTTTAGACATGTGCCCATTTAGTCTAATTTTCATATAATACTATAATTATGTCCATTTCTGCATAGGTGTCAGATGAACTTGTGTGAGTTTTATTGACTGTAATTTGTAAGTTTATTCTACATGTGTGACTTGGGTAGTGCCTGCTGTTCCTGGCCCAGAGCCTTGTGGGGGTGGGAAGCAGGTCAGGAGGGGTTCACCCACAATGCTTCTCTCTGATGTGGTCTGTGGGGTGACTTACAGTCTTAGACTACTCTAGTCCTTGTATACAAAATGAGGTTTTGGGGGCCGGAAGCATGAGTCACTAATAGTAAAGGTATGCCATATGTTATACATTTTCTCTCTTGCAGAAAAGCTTTCTGGTAACTCACTCAGGCTAGGTTCTGGTTATATAGCCTTTTTAATTTTGCATAAAAATCCTAAGAATGTGGGTGAACCTGTCTGAGATCTGATCAGAACCAAACTCATGTAATAGAACTCTTAGCTGAAGCCACTGGTTTCTTTCCAAGACCACTGTGGTTATGACGTAACCTTAGCAACAAGCTGACTTTTGCTTTATAGTTTGAGCAGGAGAAACTTCTGCATTTTCAGGAGCTTCAGTTTTTTGAGAACATTACTGCCTCACAAGGGTGTAGCATTCTGCATGCATCCTTTCATTTGGCATACGTGAGACCAAATTATTACTTTAGGAATCCCATGTAAAGTTCCTCTTGTTCTTTAGACTTCTCTCCATCCCCTCCCCCAGGGATGTCTCCTTTACTCTGATAATGAATTCTGCTTTAATGGTACTTGGATTTATTTTTAAAAATATGATTGGTGAAATAAACTTTGGGTCTGAAAATGAACGACAAATGTTGAGATCATTTGGCTTAAGGAAAATCGAAATCTCTTTATTTCCTGTGGCTGACTCCTCCAGCTGATTTGGAAGCTGCTCTCTGGCATACATTATTACATGTGTAGTGCACCCACGGCATCTCTACACACAAGCTTTATCCTCATTTTTCACTTCCTTGAGTGGTTGGAAACCTTGGCTGGTGCAGTGGTCCTGCTGGTCTGCTTTGCTAGGTGTCTTGGAATACCCAGCTCATTCTTGGCTGTAACTTCTTGGTGCCGTTTCCTAGGCTCTGGTGTCCTGGGGTGCATCATGGGATGTATCTAGGGTCTGGGGAGCCAGAATGGCCTGTACCATCAGAGCTTTGGTCTTGCTCAGCGTTACTCTTGGAGTAAGTCCACTGGAATCGGGGAGAGATGGGTTCCCTTTACATGTGTCAGGTGAGTGTAAGTGGATCCCGAGTGAGGCTGAGTGTGGCATGATGCATGTGGGACCTCTGCTCTGAGATCCTGGCTGACTCTGTTCCCTCTTCCCACAGTGGGCTCACCCGAGAGGCACACAGCAAGGAGGTGGAGCAGGTGTACCTGCGCTGCTCAGCAGGCTCTGTGGAATGGATGTACCCAACTGGGGCACTCATTGTTAACCTACGGCCCAACACCTTCTCACCTGCCCAGAACTTGACTGTATGCATCAAGCCTTTCAGGGACTCCTCTGGGGCCAATATTTATTTGGAAAAAACTGGAGAACTAAGACTGTTGGTACGGGATATCAGAGGTCAACCTGGCCAAGTGCAGTGCTTCAGCCTGGAGCAGGGAGGCTTGTTTGTGGAGGCGACACCCCAACAGGACATCAGCAGAAGGACCACAGGCTTCCAGTATGAGCTGATGAGTGGGCAGAGGGGACTGGACCTGCATGTGCTGTCTGGTAAGTACCCTGTACAGGGCTAGCATGGGCTAACTTCTGTTTGTTGTGTACCTTTAGGCCCCTGGAGCTTCTGACTTGAGGGAAGTTAGGTGATAGGAGGCTGTGTTGCCTGAGAATGGCTTATAGTTCTGGTCCCCACAGGACTGTTATACCTCAGTTGAGGTGAAGCATCTACCCTTCCAGCTGTCCCACAAACTGGTTTGGGTTTTTGGTGTCTGCTGTAGACTTGAAATAGTTTTGGGTGGGAGCAGAACAGCATAAAGCTGCGGTAGCCCAGAGGCTTTTGAGGATGGATGTTAGGATTGAGGAAGACACATAAGGTCTCTAGGAAGAGCACAGCCTGCCCAGTTCCATCTCTACAAGATGGAACCAGAAGCCTGATGGAGATGTCAGCAAGTCCCCCTTGGGGTCTGAGATTGAGAAAAGGAGGTGTGTAGCCAGGTGCCTGCTGGGAATTGGGGTAGGTAAACCTGGGAGGAGTTCCCCGCTGGGACAGAGTAGTCAGGAGCTCCTATCGCCTGATGATAAGATTCTAGCACACATTTCTCCAACACCAGGGGAGGGCCAAATGAAGCGGCGTGTGTGCCTAATAACTGGAGCTGTGGACTTGGCTTTGTTTCTGGTTTTTTTTCTTTTGTTTTGACACAGCAGATATTTTCTGTGTGACAGACTGTAGTGATAAAAAAGTGTTTTCATATTAATCCCAGGTTTGGGAATATGGGGCTGCTTTGCAGCAGGTGACTGATTTGCCTCGTGCTCTAGCAGAAGCATGGTTTTGCCAGCTGCAGATAGTTTCTGTGATTGTTTGACATCTGAAATTCTGAGAAGTTCTCAGAGAATATATAAATGCAAAGACCCTGAGATGTGGGGTGGGTGGTTGTTGGTCATTCAAGGGGGTTGGTTGTGGTTTGTTAGTAGTTGTGCTCAAAGAAGAAACAAGAAGAAAAAAAATTAGATTCAGAGATCTGTCTCCCCTCTATCCTTTTTCTCTTATCTAGTGATAGGGACTGAAACCTGGAGGATATAGGATGGGAAAAAGAAAGGCCCACAAAGTAGCAAAGACCAGCTACAACAGACAGACTGTATCACTGATGTGTCTTTGTGGTGGGTAGTAGAGAGATGTCAGCCTACAGTAGGGAAAGTCAAATCTCACCTCTTGTCTGATTTGTCAGGGTCTTAGTTCTTTGCTCATAAACGAGAATGACTGGTAGTTCCCCAAACTGCCTTCTCTCCTCTCCTTTACTGTCTGTTGCCTCTATGTCCACACCTCCAGGCTAACACAGAGGACCTGCAGGGGTCAACTTAGTGGTCTCAGGGTTTCCTGGGGCTCCAGGAAGACAGTAGCCATGGCATAGATATCTAGCTGTAGTACCAAAATTCAGGATTATGTGCACCTTTCAGGCCACAGGGTCTCAGACAAGGCAGTGCCCTAGGTAAAATGTCATGCTATCCCTGTGCCTAGGACTTTGCTGTGTTTAAGCCTCAGGGTTCCCTCGTTATCCTAAAACAAACAGCTGCTTGTCCCTGGATGTCTGTGAAATCAAATTTGCAACCATTTTGCACACTTTGTCAATGTCAGACACTACATAGTGACTATCAGAATTCAGGACAGGGACTCAGACTGAGGTAGTTATGAGCTCTGGCCCAACTCTAGCACTGCCTGAAAACAGGCATAGAAACTGGTATTACCTAGAGCTGGGTGCCACCCATCCTAGGGAACACCGCCTGAATTCAAGGGTTGAGATGGTCTCAACCAGGACAATTGGCTTTCTTGGAGAATGGGGGCTCCTGAGCTGTTAGCGCCTAAGGAAAAGGTGGGTGTATAATGTGAGATGTTAGTGCTGGCCATTGTCGGACTCAGATTGGGACAGCTTCCAAGGTTTCTATGGCCAGTGGCAGGCTTCCCCTTTTTTCTTGCTTTGGCCTTGGTGCAGCTTCAGAAATGAGATATAAGCCAGAACTCAGGCAGCATCGTCAGAGAAGGAAGAGCGTACCTGACCTGGATGGTTATGCCAGAGGCAGACAAGCTCTTAGATGAATCAGTTCTCATTTGTGCTGACTCAAGAGAACTGTGGTGCCATGGGTTGGAACCATGTGCAGGTGAGCCTTGATCCCCACCCAGAAAGGAGAGAACCTGCCACTGCTCCAAGATAGGTCCACAAGAGTGCCTACAGTGTTAGCTTCATGTTTACTTGGATTGTATAGTTGCCTTGTGACCTGCATCGAAATGGAAAAGACCAGAGTGGTGGGGTATAGTGCTGTCCCAGGGGTATATATAGGTCAAATGAGATGTGACCCCAGCATCTAGGATGCTGGATTTGGCTGCTTGCCCTGCATCTGGTGCTCCTCAGTCCTTGCTCAGGATATCTGGGCAGTGGCACTACCTCTGATGCCTAGGGGAATCTGGCAGAGTAGTGAAGGCATTACCTCTGACTACAGATAAAACTTCATCTGGAAGCTGATGTCTCTTTGCCCAGCAATGTAGGAGAAATGACTGTGGGTCACCAGCTAGGGTGAGATTCTGTCTGGTTCAGGGGACAGGTACAGCTAGGGTATGTCCTTGCTCCATTCCATCTTGGTGGGCTCATGACCTTGGCCATTGCTGTGGAACTCTGGGGGTGGGGGTGTCAAGTGAGGGGGTTGGTGGCAACAGTGCCATTTCTAATACACTCTGAAGAGGAGGGCAGCAGGATACTTTTCATTGCCTTTGCTGTCACCAGCTCATTGGACTCACAGGGTGGAGCCTGCTGCTTCTGAGCGTGTCTACTTTTTTTCTCTAAATCCTGCTCTGCTTGTTGCTAATAGGCTTGAGACACCGCACGGAGCCCCACTGCTCAGGTCCATTTGGTAGATTCAGAGTTTGGACATGCCCCTGATGGTGTGAGGATTGAAGGCCATGTCTTGTTTGTTTGCTCATTTGTTTGTTCTGTTGAGAACAGGGTCTCTGTATTATGTAGCTTTGGCCATCCTAGAACTTGATATATAGATCAGGCTGACCTCAAACTCACAGAGATCCACCCACCTCTGCCTCTAGAGTACTGGGATGACTGATATGAACCACTGTGCCCATTGGTGGTCATGTCATGAAGTGGAAGGAAGCATTGTGCCCTGGAAGCTGAACAAAAGGTGTGTTCTTTGGAGTTCTGCATCCTCTGGTCAGTTCTTGCCTTGGTGGTTTCTCAGGCCACAGTGATTTTCTTGTTTTTATTTTTTCATCTTAATCCTCTCTCAACCTTGAGTAAAGAACAGTGTGGACTTCACTGACTTCCTTTCGAGGATGAATGGTTCAGGGAACCCTTGGGTCACATGGTCCTTTGTAGTGGTGATCATTGAAGAAGCCTAGGCCTTAGCTCCTAGGCCACTCTGCCCAGGTGTGTCTTGCTTCTCTGCTCCTGTTAAGCCGCTGTACCTCCATCTGTCACAAGATATACTAGGGACCTTAAAGGGCTTTGGTGTGTAAGAGTTTTGTTTTGGAATATATGTGTCACTCTGGCTGTTCTCGTTAGACAGTGCTGTCCACGAACCAGTTGGTCTGGCTTACAAGGTCTGCAGACCTTCCTAGCATCCAGCTATTCTTGCCTGTGTTTGCTCTCCCTGCTTTCTGGAGATTGTGCCCAGGATGGGCCCTCACCTGAATCTGTCTCCAGGAGGCTTAGATCCTGTTTTCTTTATCTTCATTTAGTTTCTTTTATGTACTTTCCTGCCTGATTTCCAACATGGCTCCCAGGAAATGTGATGTCAGCATCTGTAACCAGCACATTCTACAGCTGCTATGAACTTGAATTTGATTAATAATTTTTAGATGGAGGTCCTTAGTATCCACATTATGTTTCTGCAAAAATGAAGCTCGGAATTAAGACAAGGATGACTTCAGGTGAGCCACTAGCTCAGTTGTCACTCATAGCACTGACTCGTTGAGGTTTGCACAGGTTTGCAGGATGCCTAGCCTAACAAAGGGGCATCTCCTGCAGGTAGTTCTCAGCTAGGCCACGCACAACTGAAGGGGGTGGTCTCTACTTGTTCTCTGCAGCTATCAGCTGAGGTCCCGGCACATATAACTCACAGAGAGGGCAAAATTTAGGTACTTGTTTCAGGCTACATGCCCAGGCCTGGGCTCACTTCCCTCCACCTCCTCTCTACTGGAAGGAGCAGCCCTGGTTCAACTTAGCTAACTCTTCACTCTGAGGTGCATTAGGATAGCTTCTGAGGACCCTTGCCTCCAGCTCTCAACACTGTGTGGCCTGAACACAACCTTTTCCCTAGCATCTGCTGCCCTTCCTCCTGAAGGGGGCCCTCAGGTAGACTGTGGTCACCAGGGTCAGTAAACCTGCCTGTGGGCATAGGTCAGGTACCGACTAGGGTTGACTCCCCAGAGTACTGTACTCTGACACTAATGTTAACCAAAATGTTAGTCCCTGAGGTCTCCTGTATTGCCAGGCCCTGTCTGTGCTCCAGACCAGACCAACCAACCCATGTCTGCCCACATCCAGTATAAGCGTTGGTTCCTAGTCAGTGTGAGAATGAACAGCATGCTACAGAAGCCGCACACCTCAGCAGCTTCAATGTTGAGGTTCAGGTGACATCAGTGATGGGGACTGTGGTGACCCAAGCAAATATCACAGGAAGGAAAGGGGCTGCAGGGCAACCAGAGTTGAGGGTGGACATCCGAGGGACCAGCAAACCAGCTTCCGGGAGTTGTTCTACATCTCGGTCTCCTCAGCAGAAGTTTCTGGACCATGAAACTGGCATGGGGGTGGGAGTGTTTAATTTTTTGATGGGTTGTGCTGATGCCAACAGGTTGTACTTGTTTGGCGGCTTCTCCCTTTTCTGATAACTAAATAGAAGCAAGAGTGCTTGCAGGTGAGTGGGTGGGTGAGTCATAGAGTGCTTAGGCTGGGAGACACCCCACCCCCCCTCTCTGGGGTAGGTCCAAAGGATAGGGCCCCAGACACACCCAGCTCAAGGGTCCACAGAGAGCTGTGCTTGACACTGTAAACCCCAAGACTTTGTCTCAGGTTTGCTCCTTCAGGACCTGACAAGGCTTCTCTGAACTTCTGTTGGCCTGGAAACACTTGGCTTGCTTGCCTTCCACCCACATGAGTGCAGTCTTGGTTCCCCTGGGGCCAAGTCACCAGCACTTAGGGTCAGGGTATGTGGCCTCCAGGTATGTAGATAGCATTGACTTCTTCCAGGACCAAGGAGCCCTAAGACAAGGGCTTCCCCATAGCCTTTGCAGGGGAATAGCTACAGGGAAATTTGTCTGAGATGTCATACTATAGGGTTTCTGTTTACTGGAGAACTTGGGTCCAAAGCAGGACAAAGCCTTGAGACATAATTCACAGCAGATAACAAGCTTCCATCTTCTTGAATCTACTCTGGTTTGTGGAGAAGCTTCTGGGCCACAGTTTCTGTTTCATACCAGGGGAAGTGGGGCGAAGGGCAGGAGGTATCTGTTACTGGAGAAATGAGTTGTGTAAGTGGTTGACCAATGAGGGAGCTCATTCTAAGAGTATACACCTCTGAGTCCTCTGTAGGATGCCAGGCCCCAGGTTCTGGGTGTCTCAAGCCTGAGTCCTATGAATAAGACTCAATTTGATGGGCTCTTATAGTATATAACTTGTCCCAGGGCTGAAGGAGGCCTAGAGTATGTGCTAAACTGATGACCCCTTCCCAAGAGCCCATATCCATAGCAGACGGATAGATTCCCTCAGTCATCCCCACTCTCCTATTGTTTCTTGTAAGAAAAGCTCAGGGCAGATGGGCTGAGTGAACTTCTCCTTTGGGGCCATGGTGATCTGGAGAGTAGACCTTGGGCTGCAGTAGGGGGTCTGCTTTGCATTGAGACACCCACACCATTTTAGGCTGTGTGTGTGGAAGCTGCAGGAGGGTACCTCCGTTGGGTAGTATCCGCTGCAGGAGGGTACCTCAGTTGGGTAGTATCCACATGTGGTTTCAGTTCACCTTGGGGTTGGTTTTACATCTTGACAGGCTTGTAAGAAGAATTTTGTTTTTATTGTTGTTTTGGTTTTAAATGAGTAGGGTTGTTTATTTAGGACTACACTAACAAAATGAGTGGCATGGTGTTCCTTCTCTTTGTCTGGACTCCTGTTATTGCAGCTATGAGCTAGAAGGGCCAAGTGAGCCCTTGGAATTAATGGCTGGCTTGATAGAAGTTGGCCTCCTGCTTTGCTGATCACTCCCATGGTAGAGTTGGTGTTGGCCAGAGGTATTACCATGATTTTATCTCATTCAAACACACACCCTCACATGTAGGCCAGGGAGGCAGGCCTTTTGTATTCTGCAGTGCCAGGACTGGGGAGGGTCTGTGACTAAGCAGTGTTGTCTGGGCTGTATTATTACCCTGTTCTTTCCTCCTCAGCCCCCTGCCGACCTTGCAGTGACACCGAGGTCCTCCTTGCCATCTGCACTAGTGACTTCGGTAAGTCTGTTCCTGTGGTTGTTTTTCCAGGGTCTGAGGGCTTTCCTAAGCCAGCATTGATTTCTTTTCTGTGTGTGTAAGGGAGGGTGGGTTACTGAAGCTACCGAACCTGACTTCACCCTGCAGTCACAGGGAATAAGGCATTGTGTGTACACTAAGGTGAGTCTGCACACCATGCATGCTTGCAGGCAGAGTTGGGGCTTGAATTCTAGGCGGGTCAGTGTATTCTCACTGTGCACAGCAGCTCACAACCTCCTGGGGACTCTGCAAGTCTTTCAGTTCCCAGTAAATTTTCACAAGTGCTCTGGGAACATAGTTCACAGGACAGCCTGGTGTGTTCCTGTACTAGCCCCAGCTCAGAGCACTGCTCATTCTTCATGCAGGAGGTTGGGGTTTTGAAAGCTCCTTTGGAGTCAGGGATGTTTTCTGAGGGTTGGAGGCTCCTTGCCAGAATATTTGCACAGTGTTCTTCTTAGACCAGGGGTAGTCCTTGCTGAACAGCTGCCACAATAGTGGCTACATTAAGCTGGGGTCCAGCTGGCTGTGCTCAAACCCTCATCCGAAAGCCAAGAGCTATAACTTGGTGGAATCTTGACACCTTACTGCTCCACTCTCCAGGCCTTACCCAACTACCCAATACAAGTTGCTCCCTGCCGCCTCCCTTCTAATCATTCTTGTCCTTTGAGCTGCACTGTGACACCTGATGGGACCCAGAACTGCAGAGCATTTTGCTCCTTTTCTTGTTCTTACCTGGGGGAGAGCATGTGCTGTGTAGCTGACGCCCAGTGGAGTATCTTTGTTTGACAGGATCAATACCACAGACTTCTGTTCATCATTGAGCTTTCAAAAGGCTACTATGTGACTAGAGCAGGTTCATGTCTAGTTCTAATGCCTTTGACAACCAGGGACATGCCCAGGGTGACATGTGCTATGTGCCTGCTATTGCTGACAGAGGCAGAGCCCATTAGATTTACTGATCTCTGTCTTCTTCTTCATCTACAGTTGTCCGGGGCTTCATCGAGGATGTCACCCATGTACCAGAACAGCAAGTGTCAATCATCTACCTGCGAGTGAGCAGGCTCCACAGGCAGAAGAGCAGAGTCTTCCAGCCAGCTCCTGAGGACAGTGGCCACTGGCTGGGCCATGTCACAACACTGCTGCAGTGTGGAGTACGACCAGGGCATGGGGAATTCCTCTTCACTGGACATGTGCACTTTGGGGAGGCACAACTTGGATGCGCCCCACGCTTTAGTGACTTTCAAAGGATGTACAGGAAAGCAGAAGAAAGGGGCATAAACCCCTGTGAGATCAATATGGAGTGACTTGCAGGGTGACACAGTACTGTTGTCCTTCAAATGAGCCGTGGTGTTGTGGTCTCAATTGCTCTCTCAAATCCTGATAGCGATTGCAGACTGGTGGCATGGGCCCAGCCCGGTGCTTGAACTGGGAAGGTATATGCTGCTCTGACCCCTTAGGTCTCAGCCAAGGAGGCCCTGACCCATTGGAAATGCTGTAAAATACAAACTAAGTTATTATATTTTTTTTTGTAAAAGATGCCTTGGTGTGCCATTTAATAGTGTTTTTACAAAATTATTTTCAGCCATTGGATTTGACCTGATAGATTGGTGGGCACTAGGTTATGGTGCACAGGAATGGCTATGGGGTTTCCATGGCTAGGGCTCAGCCCTGTTATTCTTATGATGGAAATGTATGGAACAAATACTTTCTTTTTATTTCCCCTTCATTTTATTTTCTATTTTAAAAGCCTATCTTTGCAGTTGAGAACCTTTCCAGACTGTGTGGAGGCTGCTTCCACTCCAGAAAATAAAGACCAGGATCTGAGCCCAATATTACAGTCATCTTAACCCATCAGATGGATGCCCAAATTGAACCTTCTCTGCTCAGCTGTGGCCTGATGTCCCAAGACCTTTTGCTCACTGGACAGTTCTAGATGGTGCTGCCTAGCTTTAGGCCCCTACCAGGCCACTGTTGCCTTCCACCTCTGTCCACACCGTTTCCACTGAACCAGTCCTGTCCTTTGATCCCGGGTTTTTCCAAATGCACACAGCAAATCTCTGAATACCAAGGGACTAACCTGCTTAATGGCCCCATTTCTTCATAGGGTGTGGGTTTTCTCTACGGTAGGAAAATCTCCACAAATTGAAGCTTAAACAGCAGGCTTTCATTCATACAGTCCTGGAAGCCAGATGGGTGTGAGCAGAATCACATTTCCTCTGGAGACTCCAGGAGGGACTTTATAGCTTCTGGTGACTCCAGGAATCCTTAGCTTGTGACAGTTTTACTCTGGTATTGCTTTCCCTGCCATGTGACTTATGCCTTGTATGTGTGGGTCTGTATTGAATTTCTGTCTTGGGAGGATACAGACTGTTGATTTAGGGCCCACCCTGGTGACTTCATCTTCACCTGAAGTGTGCTCCATTTCATTTAGGTCAGAGGCAAAGGCTACAATAAATATCAAATCCAGAGAGAGATTCAATGGCTAGGCCCTTGCTACTCTTACAAAGGACCTGTGTTCGGTTCCCATGTTAGGAACTCATGTTAGGTGGCTTACAATTGCCTATAACTACAATTCCAGGGAATCTAGCAACCTCTTCTACTTCCATAGGCATCTACCCCACCCCCTCCACACACACACAAATAATATTCATTCCTATATAGGGAGCTGGGGGAAGGCTGTGTTTCATCTGTGTGTCCTAGCTCATGGGCCCTGTCCTGCTAGAGTCCTGGCTAGGACCTCATCAGTTCTTGAGTTGCTTCCTCCTGTTCAAATTCTGACAACTCTGTGGCCCTTCCTATGTCATGTTGGGGGGAATCCTCGCCCCCTCCAGCTATGGGCCTCAGGGGTAAACAGACCCAATTATTGTGTTTATTTAGTCATCAAGTGCTTCTTTCCATGCAGCTTCTGAGGCAAGACTTAGGAGAGATGGATATAGCCAGTGAGCACCAAGCTGATGTGCTAGTTTAGGTGTGCACACTCTAGTATGTGCCAGCTCAGTGTGTGCTGGTACGGGTCTGCAGGTCACAACAAGAAACAGGTGCCCATGGCTGAGGATGCGAAGCAGTATTTTGTGAAGGGCTGGGCCCCACTGTGGCTGGTGATTATGATACCTTATGCTAGCAGGACTAGGTCACACAGATGCCATGCCCAGTTGAGCCCCTCCCAGCTCCTCCTCTCAGCCTACAGGCAAGCTGCAGAACAGGATTGGTGTGTGTCCACCACCTGTCTCTACAGGAGATTGGGGTCAGGCTTGTTTGATTCAGGTGACTGGCACCTGAACCTCGGCTTTGGACACACCTGGGAGTGAGACTGCTTACACAAGATGAGAGATCAGGGCTTCCCAGGTGTGAAAGTAGTCTCTTTGATAGAACCTTTACTAAAGCTGGCAGGGCCCAAGGGGTTGAGAGGTACTGACGTCACTTGCAGACAACTTAAATTTAACAGGTGTGTGTAGGAGGACACCTGGTTCCTTGTAGGAGTTTCTTTTTCCAAGGCTGAGGCTGACTGGTACTGGAACAGAACCATAGAGTTGGGGAAGAGCCATCGTACTGGGTGAAAGCTGCCCTCCTGAGAGAGCGTACACCATGAAGTAGTGGGAGCTACTCTTTGACTCCATCCAGGGGAGCAATGTAGAAGCTCAAGACCTTGCCCACCTGTGCCCCAAATTTCACCTCTCTACTTTTCTGCCTCAATACTGCCCACTCTGCACTCTCCCCTCCTTCCGTCTCTCTCTCCCCTTTATTGCTCTTCCCCCGTCCCTTGTTCCAGCCCCATACACAGCCCCCAACTGTTTCCTCTCCCTGAACTGGCTTCTCCCTCCTTTGTCCCTTTCTCTTGTTTCTTCCATCTGCACTGTGTCCTGCTCCTGCACTGTCCCCATCTCCCTCACAGTCCCATTTCTCTACACTGTCCATTTTACTGTCTTACTCTTCTATCTCTGCACAGTCCTCTCCTCCCGTAGCCCCTCCTCCTGTATTAGCCTCTCTGCTGCCTTTTCCTTCATCCCACTGACCCGATTCCTTGTCCCCTCCTACTGTCTCTTGCTAGCCCTGTCCCCTCTACTGTACTGTCCCCCCCATACTGTCTACTCTCTTTGCACTGTCCCCTGTCCCTTTACTGCCTGCTCTTTCTCCCTTTCCTGTTGCCCTGTACTATGTCCTGGGCTGTAGGTACCACACTCAGACAACGTGATTCTTCTACTTCATTTTTTCTTTTAAACCTGTGGACCAGACCTCACTGCTGATTGAATCTCCTGTCTTCATCCCAGCTCAAAGGTCCTGTTCTTAGAGTTACTACATTCTGGTCAAGTTCTGAGAACTGTGTGGCCCTTTCCAGTTCCTGGAGCATACTGGGAGAGCCCAGCTTCTTTGGGAGGCTTGACTTGCCAAGTTCAGGATATGAGGATGATCTCCTGTGCATGGGCAACCCCTTCCATCCCCAATCCTACCAACTGGGGCTTCATGTTACAGATAGGAAGTGGAAATATCTGTGAGTGCTTGTCAGGTCCCCTCCTAATGGCTGTATGCCCCAAGGAGTTCAATGGTGGCTGGCTACTTCTCCTTGGCAAACAAGCAAACCCTCCCCCTGCGCTGTCCCTACCTTCTGTACTGTCCCCTCCAACCCCATCCCCCACTCTCAGCCAGTCTCTGATATGTCCTGGACCTCATTTCCTTCCTGCCTTGTGGTACCTGCTTAGGAGACTAAATGTGACATGACACAGGAGTACAGCAGGCCCCACCCACGCTGTGGGACACTAGGATGAGGGGGATATCAAGCTGATTATATGGATATCCCTATCATGCTCTGGTGGTTCCATATTGATCTGGTCCCTGGGTAGCCAAAAGTCCAGGTAGGTGAACAAACATATAGGCCCTAGTCAATCCTAGTATCTCTCTTCTGCCTGCCTTCCTGGGAACAGATCCATAGTTTACCCAAGAAAATATACATCATTTTGGTCTCTTAAAATTGATCATCACATTTGGTCGTTACATTTTTCTTAGGAAAAGTGGCCTAATGTGGTGCCTCTGTGGTAGAGATAAGGAATGCCTTGCTTGCCCCAAGAACTTAGAGCCACAGACTAACAGATCTGCCTGCAGGACACCTGCTGTGGCATTACCCTTGCTGCCTTCATGAGCCAGGCTGACCTGGCCTCTGCCATTGGTGCTCCTCCCCTGTCCCCCTGGTCACCAGTACTCTACCTTCCAGAAGTTTCCATGGTTTAAACTTTGACTCCTGTAGTTATGTTGTACTGTGAGCATCCAATAGCTTGAGTAGTTTTTGACCTACAGCCCATGTATCCTACTTCTGAAAGGTTCTGAGTATTCTAGGTCAGAGCAGAGACTCTGCATGGGTCTCTGGACGGTTTGGTGAGCATGTCCCACCCTGAGTCTTTTAGAGGGGCCATGGTTTCTTAAAGCAGTTAAAACCTTTCCCAATACCAGTTTTTAAAGGAATTTCCCCATGACTATAAAATTAATGCTATTGAGACCACTTAAAAAAAAAAAAACATTGAAAAGTGTAGAAAAGGAGAGACAAACACTTCCATGTAGCATTTTTGTCAAGATTGTGTCAGTGTCTTTCTAATCACGACATTCAATTCCCTACAGCTAGTCTCTGCCTAACCTGTGGTCACTGGCTTTGACATCCCCTAATCCTGCGCTGATGGGTTTCCTCAGGAGCATAGACATGAGATGATCAGGGAGAGCACACAGGCTGCTTTTAGTTTTCGATGACTCCTCTGGTTCCTGCTCTGGGACCAACCGGTACTTGAACCTCAGAACAGCAAAAGTTTCTAAATAGCAATTTCTGTTTCTTTGATTCATAAAGTTGTGTTTCTACTGCATTCTGGATCCTGTCCTTCATTTACAAGGCCCTGAAGTCCTGTCCTGATCCTGGGGCCTGGCATGCAAAGGGCAGTTATAATTGACCACGAGGAAGTGGATAATTCTTGATCCTCCAGTGATCCTACTGCAGGCACAGGGCCCTGTAAAGTGTAAGCCTAGGGGTATAGGTGTTTCCAGAAGCCAGAACAGGTAAAGAACCAGGCCTATAATACCCTGAGCTCAGGCTACTGTGACTTTGTTCAAACTTTTGACTTCTAGAGGCCCATGACTTCCTGTCTGTGTTGTAGGTCTCTGAGTTGGTGGTGATAAATTAGTCATGATCTGAGTGTTTGCCCATGAAATGAGGCTCTCAAGTACTTCCTCAGCTGGGAGGACTTCTGTGGAATTACTGTGGCTGTGACAGAAGGGAGACGGGCTGCCGGGAGAGTCTGGCACTGAGGCCAAGTGTCCAGCAAGGCCTGAAGGCCCAGGCTGCCACAGCTTCTGAACCACATTACCTAGAAGGACCTGTTCAGGGCTTAGAGATGCTCTGGTCTCACAGAGGTGGGAAGCCCTCATTAGTGCTATAGCTGCAACTCAGGCTGCCACTGAGGTGTGGTGGGAACTGATCCCAGACAGACTGTGCCTGTCTTTCTCCAGAGTAAATTTGGGTACAGCATCTCCTAGAGTGTTATTAGTAGGAGTTAGTGGTA